TTTTTTTTTTTTTTTTTGAAAGTGAGTTTTTTTGTTTACTTTTGGTAAAATTTTTTTGATAAAAATTGAATATTCCCCAAAATTAAAGTATGTGGTAACTATATTTATATGGAAACTGTGAGGTGCCTAACACCTTCTCCATGCTTAATCAACCTCCGATTCCAGTCAATATTTACATAAACTTTGGTGATCTATCTCACCTCATTTGGATAGATTGTGCCTTCATCGATTTTGGCACATCAATAGTTTGGCGACTCCACTAGGGACATTAGAAGGGTCAAGCCATTTATACTTTAATTTTGGGGTTTTTCAATTTCTAACTTTTGTTTTACACTTGGCATGGAGTACCTTATGAGTTTTACCTCTTTTGTACTTAGTTATTTTATTTAATACTTTTGTTTTTTTTTCTTATGTTAGTATTATTTGAATGCTCCCTCACACACCTCACTTGCATATCATTTTGTCCTTGATGAGGTGAACCTAACCTTTAGGTAGATGGATTTCTCATGGAAGAATGCAAAGCACAATGCTTTCCTTGTGAAATGAGATTATCACTTTGAGGTTCATTTTGTGGGTTAATACGGCCTACCAACCATAATACTGTTGTTGTATTAGGTCATGAAATGCCTCTTGTTAACTTTATAGAAGCTAGCAATTATTGACTTTATGGAAGTCAATAGTTGTTGTCTTTGTGGGAGTTAGTAGTTGGAAAAAACCTGATCGTATAGGATTCACTAGGGCACCGCATGTAATGGACTTAGACAAAAACTTAACCATAAGTTAGCTAGCTTAGGAAACCACCTTCAAAGTTTAAGAACCTTATGCATAGGACACGTAGGGAGTATTTTTATTTTTAAACGATGTTTTTGTGTTTCTTAGGTGAGGAATTTGACAAAGAGGTATGACATTTATTAACTCTCTTTATACTTTAATAAATAAGTAATTGATTATTTTATACATGGATTCTTTGAGATAGAATGCCAATAATTATTCAAGAAGAACAAGTCACACAGGGATGGATTCTCTATGCAAACTAAAAGACCTTGTGTAAAGGACTTGGATGCTTCTTGGGACAGTCTAAACAATGTTGACAAAGTGAGGTTTGACAAGAAATTTGGAAGAATAGCTATGTGTTGCAAGTGGAGTTGGACTAGCAAACCATTAGGGTAATCCTAGGATTTTGTGTCTCCCATCTTTGTTGCTTTGTTTGTGTTTGAAGAATATTTCAGTTGTTATTTAGTCACCCAGCAATAAGTTCAAAAGTTGATCAACGGAACATATCCTGAAATGGTTGAGGTTGAGCGTATTATTCCACCAAATCAACATAATGTGGCTTGAAACTTTGTGGAAAGGCTTTCAAAGGTGATAAACGGACATTGTGAACATGAGCTTTAAACAATAGAATATTGGAAAAATCAAGAGAAATGAAAGTTTATGAAGGTTATCTATTAGTTGTTATATTCAAAATTTTAAATAAAGGAATAAAGTTTGAAGTCAAATCACATTTTCTTGAATTCTATTTGTTGAGAAAAAGCAAGTTCCTCGATATAAAAGAAGAAAGGATATGAAGGTAGCAACTTCCTCATTATTTTTCTTTTTCTTTTCAAAGAAAAACAAATCAACAAAAGAAAAGGTTGTGAAAGAGGCAATCTCCTCATGCTTTTGGCTTGCGTGGAAATTGTTTGACTCTCATATCACCTTTGCTTACAAGCAGTTGGCTGACGTTACCCTTAAACAATGAGAAATCCATGTGTAAAATAAATAGTATGGTTGTTTGAGGACATGATTTTATCTAATGGGAAAGCTTGGGACTATCTTTCAATATGCCAAAACCATGATTCGTTAATAATGCTCATCTATTACAGCTGTTGAAGGATTGGTCCTAAAAGGAAGTAACCAAGAGTTCATTCACCTATTCTCACTAGAGTTGATGAAGCTAACTTAGAGAAAGGAGCTCTTGAAAATCAAGTTGAAGACATAGAGAACACTTTGAAGGAATTGATGGTTTCCTTCCAATCTCTTCAAGTAACTTTAGTCGCAAGGGCACCTTCAACAATAAATCCTTTGCTTGAAGGAAATGTTTCTATGGCAAATATCCTTACAACCACATATGCTTTAACTCTTGGAAAGGAGCCAATGTCATCCAACCCTCCAAGTTCGACTATTGTTGGAGTTTCTAAGATAAAACAACCTGTCCCAACTTTTTTAAATTCTAGTATTGTTATAATTCAAACTAATGAAAAAGATCAAGTTGGGACTCAAGTTGTAAAATCAATCACAAAGGATGAAAACAAGGCAATAGAAGCAAAGGTGTAGTTGATGAAGGAAACACTAAAATTGATGCAAGAAGTTCAAACCAATAAATTGGTGGACATCTCATCTTTGTGCTTTTCCTAAACATTCAATTGCCACATAAGTTCAAGTTGCCTAAATTTGATAAGTACAGTGGCATTGGTTGTCCTTATGCTCACTTGACAATGTATTGTAAAAAGTTGGCTCCTTATGCCAATAATGAGAAGCTAATGATACATTACTTTTAGGAGAGTCTAACAGGTCTTACAGATGCTTGGTTCTCAAATTTAAACAAGAGTAAAGTGTTGGCATGATTTAACTCACAAGTTTATATACAACACATCATTAGCTCCCAATAGAGAAGATCTTTAAACTACAAAAAGGAAATCAAGTGAAAGGTTTAAGGAATTTTCCCAGAGATGGCATGGATTGGCTACTCGAGTTCAACCACCATTGTCTGATCCTGAATTGAGTAATTTATTCATTAAGTCAATCAAAGGGCCTTATTGTAAGAAGTTTGTCACGCCCCAAAACCCAAATTCGAGGCGCGACAGACGCCGTA